CAGAAATACAGAGTCTGGTGAAGGGCTCCTGGAACAGAATTGCTGAGGCTTTTTATACTGTTGTTGTAATAATCCTTGAAGACTGAGCGACTGTTCATATCACAAATACAAATGTGCGAACCCCACTTTAAATGGTGGGAAAAGAGGCCGAGTGCAACTGGCTAAAACTCTCTATTTGTTTCTTTTGGGGGGAGTATTTTTGTTAATAGTATTTTGTTAACACTTTTGAAGACAGACTGTAAATGCTACAGATGTAAAATGAACTCTGAAGAAGTCTTTGACGAATTTCTGTAATTCTCCAAGGAGTTCTGTGTCAGAGAGGTAAGAAATAGAACATAAGATCTCTTGTAATTCCTCTTATGCCACACTAAACATATACAGTAAGTGTGTTTTTAGTGGAGAGCAAGATTTCTTCTTTGCCTCTGCAGGCCCATATTAGATTTAAAAGGCAAACTAAGTTTTTTTTTTTTTTAAAAAAAAAGGATTAAACAAGAACCACTGTATATTTTCATGACATAATGATGTGCAAGTTCTTTTTTCAGACCATATGCTTGACTTGCTACTTACTGCAAAGAACATGTAATATATTGCCGGATGAACACATTTCATGTTACAAACCAGTCTGACCAGCTAAACCTGCACTCAGAGGTATCAGACAGTCTTAGTGAAACTCAGAAGGATTATTTCATTGGCCCCCGCTCAGCATTTCTTGCTTGACAACTCAGCTGTGAATATGTTTGGAAGCATTAGTTCAGAATGTACGGACTTCTAAAAACAGCATCAGCAGGTCTCTCTCGGGTATCTCTAAAGCCACCTATCACACCTGTCTCTAAGAGCTGTGAATCACAAACCAGTAGTTTTCCTCCCCATGGTTTCGCACTGATGGAGGTTTGCTTTTTTTTTTTTTTTTTTAAGGAAACACATGTTGCGCTGTTGAGAAAGGCTGAAAGATTACAGAAACCTAGCAACTGAAACACAGGCTGTTACAGCAAGCCATCTTGCTTTGTGTCCTCAGGTCTGGTAACTTTATTCATACTGGGATCTCAAGCTCTATTATTAACCTAGAGAACTATGTTAAAGCTGCACTGTCTTTCCAACCAGAGTCTAATTAAAGTTTCATACACATAATGCATACCCTTTTAAATTCCAGTCCATAAAAATAAGCCCTCATATCACCCTCTTTCTCAGATAACCTCCACAAAACGAGAAGCAGAAGGGAAGGTTCAACATTAGGGAGCAGGTTCTGTGGGCTCTGAGGTAGGGGGGCCATTAGAGGAAAGAAACAGCTGAGAACATTTTCCCTCTTATTACCTCTGAATAAACCAAACTGACACTGAAATGCAGGGCTGCTTTGGGGAAAAAAGCTTCAGGGTTTATGTCTGTTTTCTAACAAATGTGACAGGGCACATATTCAAGAAAATAGGGCATATTATTCATTTGTTTTGATAAAACTATCCTCTATTGTATCTCATCTGGAGTTTGGACAGGATGTAAGCGGAGGAAAGAGGCTTTTAAAAGATCTATACTACACACGCACACACTTGTATCAGTAAATACATGCATGTAATCACATGCATGGGATCTAACTTTAAAAAAAAGAAACACCGTGACCAAAGGCTCAGAAAAATATTAATCAATTGCAATAAAAATGTCAATGTATGATAGTTGTTGCAGAAATTAAAAAAAAAACCAACAAAGTAACCATTTTAATGTGCAAACAGAAATACTTGACTGCACTGTATAGGCAGTATTCATGATGAGCAGAGTAAGATTTTCATGGTAACTGTTTGGAGGATCATATAAATATGTTCGTATCAAAACCACACTTAATCCAAAACATGTTGTCAGTTTGCATAGGAAGACAGTCAAGCTGTCATTGATTGCGAGAAAGCTCAGAAGAAAACAAAAAACAAGCTTAAAAAAAGAAGTATCAGAAAACATAGAAAGGAGTAAGAAGAAACAGGTTCACACAAGCAGAGGTCACTCACAGACAATGTAAAGCTGAACTGAAAAAGTAGTGAAGTCTGACAAGCAAAAATTAGTCCTTTCTCACTGGCAGGCAAGGCTTGCAGGAGAAAGCATGGTATTTTATCAGGCTGACTTGAAAAAAGGGCACACTTCTGGTCACACAAGCCCCTTTTGAAGTCCCTTCTCAGTGACACATCAGGCCTATGCCCAGAGAGATGTCCAAGGTGACACGAGTAGTGCAGGGCACACTTCGAGATTTTTTTCCCAAGGTATTAGAAATAACTATTTCATTGAAGAAAGAAAGTCTGTACTTCATATACATGTACACAAAAACTGACCAGTAAACCATGCTCGATTTAACCCCACAGACCCAGAACTTTAACTGTTTTTCCTCTTTTGTTTCCCCACTGGTAGTTTGCACAATTAGCTTGTACGCTCTGCAGGCCAAAAAAACCTAGTCTGGAAAAATCTTTTGAAATATTTAACACATACTAGGACTATGTAAATAGCAATAATAATTCAGTGGCCTTTTCCTGCTCCGCACTTCGAATGTATTTATTATGAGCTTGACAAATAATGCAGGATTGTAGCATTCTGCCTCCACATTCCTCGTCTTCCTCTTCCAGTTTACCAGAGCAATGACGAAAGAGGAGTTTTTTGCTCCAAGCCTTTAACACTTTCAGCACAGATTCTCGCACTGCGCAGCTCTGCGAACCGGAGGATTCATCTTTTTGCACAGGGGCAGAAACTGATTTCCTTAACCAACGTAAAGATGATCAGAAGCCTGCCCAGTGACCCACACTGCTCGAGAAACCACACCAGCAGCAGAAGCTATAGAGGCAGCTGCTTTTAAGGCCAGCAACAGCACGCTCAGCCTGAACAGACTGTACTAAGATTTTTCTCCCACACACAAAACCAAAGTGTTCCTGTGCCCCCTTTGTGCTGACAGAGCCTGTCTCTCGGTTGATGAGCAAGGCGCTATTTAGCAAATAATTTCTCAACCTATTTTGGAAATCCACAATCATGTACAATTGGCTGTGTTGGTCAGTATTCAGTGGCGATTTCAAAGGTTCTTTGTCCTGGGGAGGAGATACGACCGTTCACCAGCACGCCGGCAGAACTGCTGAGTACACAGCTGGAGCGTACGTGGGGGAAGGGAAATGGTGTACGATTTTGCAATTATATCTGTTAAATCCATACGGTTTTGAAGAATGATCACTTGGCATTTCTTACTATTTTGCAAGTGGAAACTTTTAACACATTTGCCAGAATTATTTGGCTGTTTTCTCTTGTAAGAGGACAGAGGATCAGCACAGAGAAACGTTAAGCCACATGTACGTGCTACATAATTGGTTCTTTCAGCCCCTTGCAGCGCAAATGATTTGCAGTAACACGCTCTGCACCTCCTTACTAGTTAGCAGCCCAATCCAAGACAAATACATCAAGAAGGGAGAGAGAGGAAAAAGCTGTGGACAAGATTAAGCCGTGGCTTTTTCATGATGCTCACATTTTTTCTATTACCCAGCTGCTAGATATTCAAGAGAAAACAGGGTGTAGTATAACAACTGTTACAACAGGCCACAAGAGCATAAAACCACCAAGAAACCTTTCTGTTCGGTTCGTCGCAGGGCTCTCACTTGTACTAGAAAAACGTCACTTTGATGCCCTGTTTGCATTCCAATTCCAACAACAAGGAGGAGGATGGAGGTCTCCAGTTTCTATGACAACCCAGATGGGCCACAATACAAGATACTTACAAATGTTCAACGGCAGGGATGCCAGATCAAATTAAGCTAGAGTTTACACTACTTCACAGAAACTAAAATGAAAGAAAAAACCCAAACAAAACATGAATGTCAAAGGAAGGATGACATTTCCTCAGCACATTCCAGAAGATTTCTGAAAGTAGATGATAAAGAAAGGAGGGATTTTTCTCTACAAAAATAAGTAACGATGTCAACACAAACAAACCGAAACCCTCATTTATATGAGTAAATGTTTTCATTAAAACTAGACGACTGGAAAATTACCATCAGACATTAAAAGCAAAAAACACGTCCCAAAAATAACATGATTTTATTAACTCATTACTTAACTCATTATGAACCGGCAAATTTGTCATCCCACTGTTTTGCATGGCTTGTTTAACACCATGAGTTACGTTTCATGATACAGTTTGGTTTTCTGTTGTTTACCCCTGATCTAGTCTTCTATGACATTTTGCAAAAGACACTCGGATGTACAAAATACTCCATATTCTACCTGAAGAAGTGAAATTAGTAACAGCGAGATATTTTAGTAACACTAACAAAACTGCAAAACCATTTAATGTGTGTTCTTAGTAACTTAACAGATCCGTTGTTAAAAAGGTGAGGTGAACTTACTTCTCAAAGGTATTGACTCCATGTGCTAGGAAAGCAAGTAACTGCAACAGGCAAGTAGCTCAGGCAACATGAGTAAAACACCTTCTGAAGAAACACCTGCAAAAGCTTTTTGTAAGCTTTTCAGCTGTGACATACATAGATGTGGTTCCCAAAACAAATCCAGTTAAAGAATTTCTTAATAAATGTGTATTTTAAGGCAACTTATTTTGAAAACATGTGTTTTAAAATATTTTTATAGAAGCTAGGTTGTCTTTCTTTTTAATCAATGTCCTGTTCCAAGTTGCTTTCCTTTCTTTCTTTCAGCTTTATTACCAGCTAGTTAATAGCCTTCATTAAATATGTGATAGACAGCAAGGCTCACAGTAAGACAGATAACTGTGGACTTTTAGAGGCTTAGGTTCTTTGGGGAGAGGAAAGGCAGAAGAGGAAAGTCTTAACAGCTGTGCCTAGTCAAAATAATCCAAAATCAGAGGGACTGTAACGTTTAAAATTGGAACAGACAGCCTTAAAATCTGGGTCTGTGCAGATACCTTTAAACACTTTATTAAAAACTGCAGACACTCACTCTTCATAAATCATTCCCCTTTGCAGCACGGCTAACCAGTACTATTTACACAAGGACTCGTCAGCCTGGCTTGGACGTGCTACCTCAGCACCCAGGAGCTCCCTGATGCTGCGAGGGCTCTCACTGTTGTGGATGGGGCCACAGCTGGCACGTGGCGTGGCAGGCCGAGGCTGAACAAAAGCTGCCTGCTCCGTCGCGTTCCTTCGCCCCGTGTAACGAGGAGCGGAGCCGGGCAGACACACTGCGGCGATGGTATGGGTATCCCAGGCAGAGGGCTCTGGGGATTTGCAAGGAGCTCCCGCAGAACGACCAGAGTGCCTCAGTACTGAGGGGTGAAGAGCCGAGGGCTGAAATTATGCATCGGTAATAAAAATTAAAATACCTGAGGACTCTGCTCAGCTAGTGGGAATTAACTGGAAGTGATGAATTAGGATGGAGAAGTGTGACTCAGGACACAGCTGGGCATGATGAGCTTTAAACTTGGACTATAACACTTAAACTGTGACTGTACAGTCACATCATATAACTGCAACCTGTGTTTCGCATATAAAGCGGAAGACAAGGAATGGCGTAATGAAAAAAGAGAATTTGCAAAGTGTTAATGCTTACTAGAATTGTAACAGTTTAATGAGAAGAACAGAATGAACTGGAAATAACAGCAGGAAGGAGCCATAAGTTGCAAGGGATGGTGGTATGGCAGTGAAGAAGCTGCTTGATGTCACACGCTTAAAGTGACTCTAATCATAATTTGGTGTAAGTATCAAGAGACTGGGACAAATAAGCAGGCCAGTGGATTCCTCTCACAGACTCTATTGTCAATCACATATCCCAGACATTTCAGAGCATGAACTTCCACTCTGCAGTGACACGGCATGGAAGAAAGTTGTACTTGCAATTTTTACAGCATCCACTATTCTACCGAGTCCACTATTTTATGCAACCACAACAGCATAACTGATTACTGACCCCTATAAGGACTTCTTTCTTCACAGAAAAAACAAAACAAAACAAAATGCACAAACACCAAAGTTTTAAGGAAATTCAGCAAGAAAAACCTTTTTTAACACGGAGGTATAGCTGCCTGGTGCTATTGCTATTAAACCCAGTGAAATCCACGTACGTATCTGAAACTAACAAAGTGTTCAGGGTACATATCCATGCGTATCAATTTGGTTCTCTTGGGATCCTCATGCTCTGGACATCATCAACACTAAATGCACAATACTTTTTTTTTTTAAAGTAGCAGGGTATGTATTTGCAGTCTTCCAGTACGTCAGCTGACCACAGCACAGGTATTTTCAGAAAAACCATCTACACGGCATACCTAGGATGGTATTCAGCTCTTTTAATAGTGTAATTAAAAAACACACCATCCTTTGCCTCCATGTATAGTCAACAGAAACAGATGGATAGTTGAATAAGTAAATGCTCAGCATGTGCCCTGTCTTCACAAATTCCAGACAGTTTAGACTACTTTTTACACAGGTGAAATGAGAACCCCTGAGCTGACTCACTAGACAGAACATCTCTTCCTCAACTCCACAAACCCCTTTTACTGCCCCATTACTTGTATGCATATACCGCTGTTTGACATTATAACTTCATCTGTCCATCATTAAAAACAGCAACCGCACTCATCCTCTACCTTGTTGTTGACAGCAGCAATCACTTACAGATCGTATCCTGATGCTAACACAGGCAATACAATGCAGCACCTCTGCCCTTGCTGACATTCACTTTGATTCACAAATACCACCCACCTCTTCCTCTCCAGCTGACAGTTTTCAATTAAAACTCTGAGTGACTGTTCTCAGCGTGTTCGTAGCTTGAAATGTGCTTTTTTCATTTTGCAACTATAAAAGGTTTGTGCTCCTGATTGGGCATCATTTCTTTGACTCAAAGATATTACCGCTTCCTACAAACTTTGCCACAGTGAAATGATTCACAGTGGATCTCCCTGTGTATATAGGCATCTTGCTTGGTTGGTTATGAACACAATGGAGAAACAAAGGGGTTATATCGCAAAGCATCTAGGAAATCTCGTTAAAACAGCTCTGCCATATGATCCAGATAAATATTTTTAACTTTGAATACTGTTCTGACTGACTTCAGGCTAATACTAAAGTATTTGCAAGTAATTCCTACAGACTAGCTCCAGCATCAAAGAAGCCCTACCACTGAGTTTTGCTGAACTTTACTTTCTGCAAGGGCCCAAGACACTATTGGGAAACCTATGTTAAAATTTCTAACAGTCTTCATATTTTCAGTATATGTATCGTAACATCTTGAGTTTCAGCCAGAATTCACGCACTTAGCGGGGGAAAAAAAAAATAATCAAAAAGTAGTTAATCTCTCCTGGATTATTAAGGTACATGTGACTAGAGAACTACCAAGGATCACTAGACTTACAGCTTTTCCATTATCTTGACTTTATGACTATACTGAAGTACAGAAAAACACCTGAACAAGAAACTAAACCAGCATGTTTTTTAGCAGCTGGTAGATGATAATTTTAGAACAGAACCAGTATTATCTGTCTTGAAGATGCACAAACAATGAAGCAAATAAGACGACCTCTGTTAAATTCACATCCAGTAAACACACATGAAATGCATCCAAGTTTGCTGAACAGAATAGCATTAAGTGGATGAAAAGTGGGTAACTTACCTGCTTCTAACAGGCTTTTTACAGACAGATTAAAACCAAAAGATACTACCATTTATAAAACCCAAAATATAGTTAAAAGTAAACTTTTACATGCCCAAACATTCAAGCGGTTGCATCTGTACAATGCATCCTTCTTTTGGATTTGATGTTTTTCAGAGGTATCAAATTGATGTTCATGTTTTCAGTTATGTGAAGTCTTAACAATATTGATACCAAATTGATGTTCTTTTTTTCAGTTATGCAAAGTCTTAACAACACTGAGTAAGTACTGTTGTAAGACAGCTAAATACTTTTGCTGCTGTATTTCGTTCAAAACCCAACTACAGTACCAAACACTTCTGCCTATTGTTTACTGCTTTTGCACTTTTATCCAATTCTAGTCAATTATACCACGTATGTGCACACAGGAAAAACATATGTTCTCAAAAAATTTCCTCTGCAAATGTTTCTGTATTAATTTTTCAATCAATTAGGGTCAGAATGGTCTTTAAAAGTAAGAAAGCTGAACACTAACAATCTGTCAGTGCAAAACAAGCCCTAAAGATAAGCTCATACTGTTCAAAGTACTGGCTGTTCCGTGCATCTGGAAGAATTTGCACCCATCAAGTGTGTTTGCACGATCAGACTAAAAATTACTTTAACAGAACATGGAAATTGTTTTAGTAGCAGGAACCCTGAAATCATCAAGAACTGGCCTTCCAAGAAATGACCTACTTAATGCACATAAATAGGTATTTCACATTAGCCCTTCCCCCAAAAAAAACTCGGAGAGTTTTGCATTCTTTAAAATGAGCTGAAACCACTACAAAACTAGATGCTACAAAACAAACCCTCACAAATTTATATCTCTTACAGAGAATTAAAAATAATGGACAGTGAAAAAAAAAAACAAAACCAAAAAAAACCCCAAAACCACAAACACACACCCAAACCCCAAATAAATAGGAAGCATCTCTTCCACTTCGCTTTTCTAGTGGTCAAACCACCAAAACGGCTAACAAATCATTCAGTTGTTAATTCAGTTATTATAAAACTTTCTTTTCCTTGGAAGATACCGAGAAAATTCCTGTTTCAAGAGAGAAAGGCTACGTTCTACCTTCTAAAACCCTAACAAACCAGAGCGGCCAGCAGCTTAAGGATTACATCGGTCGCACTAAGGCTCTTGCGAGCGTTCACAGAGGGTGCAGGCAGGCAGGGCGCGCACCA